GGCTGGTGTACTTGGAGGATCATGGGACTTAGTAAGTAGGGTTTAGGGTTTTAGGGTTTTAGGGTTTAGGGTTTTAGGGTTTTAGGGTTTTAGGGTTTAGGGTTTTAGGGTTTAGGGTTCTACTTGGAGGATCATGGGACTTAGTAAGTAAAATTGGGTTATAATATGTTATAATTATAGTTCCCTTATTTATAACCCTAGTTACTAAGTCCCATGATCCTCCAGCTGGTGTAGGCGTCTGGGTTGGCAGGCTTTTTGGGGATTTGGGGCTTTTGGGCTTGCGGGTTGAGGGTCAAGCTTGAGGGACTTGAGGGTGTTACCGTCGCCTTCGAAGGAATGTCGTAGGATCCTGAATTTTTCCGAGGACCCCGTGGCCAGCCCTAAATTGTGGAAACCACCCAAGCAGGCTTCGCCTAAGGCCCAAAGGCCTGCAGCACCCGGCGCTGCACCGCCAGTTCCTTGCAGAGCTCGGTTTCCATCCTCGGCTCCGGGCTTCAGGGTTTTTAGGGGTATTGAGGCTTAGGATTTACGTTTGTTGTTGGGGCTCTAGGGCTTCAGGGATTTAGTGCCCAGGGCTTGGGGCTTTTGAGGGTTTTGGGCTTTCGGTTCAGGCTGTTTCAGCCTCAACTCCCCACTGCAAGGCCAAGCGGCAGTGCAACGAACTCCTGCGAGGACGCACAGAACCAAGATCCCCGAAATTGAAATGGCAGGCGCTAAAGCTGAAAGACAAAGAAGAAGAAGACTACTTTGACTTGACTCCGAGAACTTTCTTTCTGTTGTACCTCCAGATAGGTGCTTCCGCCTTTTTGCCAGATCTATCTTTCTTGCCGTTTCGCGCACATGTTGAGAATTCGGCGTTGGGCTTTGCAGGCAATTTCGAACTTCTTGGGGGGTTGCGGGTTTAGGGTGATGACGACCGTGGCGGACTTCACGCGGGAAGTCTAGGAGGAGGCAGCAGTTCAAAACAATGCTGCTGCTCCTCCTCGCCAGGACAAGCGAACCGTATTTGCAAGCATCGGCAACCAGCTGTTTTGGAGAAACTCAAAAACTCTCTTCTTCTGCATTTCCATCATCCTGCAAACATGAACATCACCCGAACTGACGTGTGTGGCAAACCCAAGGTTTTTGATTGTTTTTGCTTCCGGCAATGTCGAAAACACTCATCCTGACATCTGAGCATACGGGCATCCGGAAGCGTGTTCGGAGTACTCTGGCACTGTCTAAGGAACTCTGCTACTAAGTTCTGCAGACCCCCAGGTCTCCGGCAGAACCTCCGGGGCCAGAACTGCCTGCCAAATCCAAAAAGTCGAAACCCCTCACTGCAAGGCCATATACGGCAGATCCAAAACCTCCCAAACCGCGAATGAATCCGAAACCGACAGGGGATGGGAGTAAGACTCGCGCATCAGGCTCCAAGCTAAATTGACATTTTAGGTGTGCGTTTAGCGTGGTTGGCCCTTGAGATTTAAGGCTCAGTGCATATCCATGCCGGTTGCGAAGCTCTTAGTGTCGCACCCTGGGCGCTGAATCCATAAACCCTCGAGCAAATCCATCTAATGGTTCAGGCTGGGGTTTAGCCGAGCTTAATGAAAGTCTAAGAGTTAAGATTTAGGTTTTGGGGTGTTTCTTAGTTTCCCCTGAACCCTAAACCCTAAACCCTAAACCCCCGAAAACCTCAAAGGCCTGCAGGGAAACACCCGAGCCCGCTCCTTCACTCCAGGCAGAGAGAAGCGCGAACCGGTCAGGACCTCACCATGGAGAGCCGGAGAGCTTAGGGTTTAAGGCTTTAAGGTTTGAGAAGGGGTCCCACAGTCCTCCTCCCTAAGGTTTAGGGGTCTAGAATGAAGGTGGGCTTAGTATCTAGGGAGTTCGGGACTCAGAGCTTGGAGTTTAGGGTTTGGGGCTTAAGGTTTAGAGCCTGGGGGTTTAAGATCTGGGGATATAGGCCTGAAAGTCTACCCTAGATCTGAGATCCGGGAGTCTAAACCGAACTCCACAGGATGAACCTGCAAACCCTTCAAAACCCACGGGGCCCAGGCTCCAGGGTTTCAGGGCTTGAGGGCTTTAGGAGCTAGTGTTCTGAGTTCAGGGCAGCTGAGCGGCG